TAACACACACACACACACACACTCAGTAAGACACACACAGTAACACTCACTAGCAGACACACACACTAACACACTAACACTCACACTAACACTCACACACACTAACACTCACTCTAACACTCACTCTAACACTCACTCTAACACTCACACTAACACTCACACACACACTAACACATGATTTTTTTTTTATTTTTTAATATAATCCCCCCAGCCTCCTTACCTCTTGGAGTGCTGGGGGGGATTATTCCCTGGGGTCCAGTGGGGCTCCTGGGCGGGCAGGCAGGCAGGCGGGCGCGCGAGGGAGCACTCAGTGCTTCCTCTTCAGGTCCCTCGCGCGCCGCGTAGGGATGCCGGCGCCGGAAGATGACGTCATCTTCCGGCTCCGGTATCATTGCGGTGCGCGAGGGAGCTGAAGAGGAAGCACTGAGTGCTCCCTCGCGCGCTCGCCTGCCTGCCCGACCGGCCACCCGGGGTCAGCAGGGCCAGCCTCAGGGGGGCCCTGGGGTGGTCGGCTCCTGGGCCCCCCAGGGGAAGAGGCTGGCCCTGTGGCTACATACCGGGTTGCAGGGGCGGCCGGGCCCCCTGGTGGGCCGGGCCCGGTCGCAGTCGCGACCCCTGTGACCCTGGTATGTACGCCAGTGGGCACACACACACACACACACACAGACAGACAGTCACACAAACAGGCAAACAGTCACACACACACACTTACCTCTTTCCAGTGGATGCAGTTGGCTGATGGTGAAGCATCTTTCCCTCTTCCTGTACAGCAGGGGCTTCGGGAGGTATTAGCCCCGTCTCCGCCTCTCGATAAGCCCCGCCTCCGCCGCTCGGTAAACCCCGCCCCCTCTGCCGCGATTTTTTTTAATTTTTTTTTTAAATAGACCCGGGTGGAGAATAATTAATCCTCCAGCCAGGTACCTCTTTTAGCTCCCCTGCACTCCGGCCATGAGTGAGCTGTGTCGGCCACAGGGCGCCCCCTGTTCCATGGCGCCCTGTGCGGTCGCACAGCTCGCACACCCCTAAGGCCGGCCCTGCTTGCAGACCATCAGCTAAAGCAAAACCTGTGCAATGCTGGGATAGCGCTGCGCAATTCATGCCTGCTGCATCAGTCCCGCAAAACGCATCCCAACGCAATCCAGAGCCGATTAAACAGCAGACTTTGAATGTTGCCGTGGGCAGGAGTTACCCCTCTGCTGTGTCTGTCTATATATTTGTTCTTCTTTTTGTTTTGTACAGAGTGTAAACAGGGCACCGTGTGAACCCAGACTCTGTTTACTTCAGTCTAAGGGCATCCTAGGCATTGATTTAGGCATCGAAGACAGATACCATGCCCACTCATAACACCAGAAATAGCAATCACAAACACAATTCCATTTATAATCATCTCAGGATCTCAAGCATTAAATAACCTCAATACTTCATCTAGAACCAGTGCTGCTGGACTTTCCTGGCCGCAGATCCTCTGTTTGATGTATGCTTCCATTCATTTGTCGGAGATCTTAACTCCTGAGTGTTAATAACAAGATGCACTTAACAATAATTAACTGCCTCGCTGGGTACTCTGTGCACAACATAGATTGGCACCACTAAAATTAACCAGGAAATTGGTTTCTGAAGCCCACGTACATGGAAAGGGACACGCACTACCTCAGCACACATACCGAATGAGCCCATGCACAGATACTGTCACTAAAAATCTCTAAACAAGGAATGTAGTGAATGTACAGCCGAATTGCTAACTGTTATATAAAATTAGACACATGTATCCATCTCGTATATCCCCAGTCATGTATCGTCGTTGCACCTGCCCTGATGTTGGACTATTTCCCGAAGCTGAACCCACCATACTAGCAGCCCTGACCTTTGACCTGTCTGATCCTGCCCTCCATGTTCCGAAAGAGCGGCCACAAAACTCCATAGTTCCGCTTTGGTGGGATGTGGGTATTTCTCTATGGCTCTCCACCTCTCCATGTGTGTATATAATTCCTCACAGCAGTATTTACACAATCATGTCTCCTTACTGTCTATAAGAACTATGCTAACTGACGTGAATCAAAATATAATGATCAATCAATGTCAAGTATCTGATTACTGAAATCACCTCAATTTACAGAATGAAACACCCATCATTTTCACTTGTAATGCGTAGCGAAGAGATGTCAGTCTTCATCAACCCTAGATACAAAGAGCAGCTGTTTTAATAAAGGGGTTTGTTCCCTAAACATCGAGTTGCAGTCTACAAGCCGCCTGTTCATTATTGGCTTTTTGGGTTACCCCACTGAGCTGTTACAGCAGCATTTTGTCTGTTGAGGCCTCGGTGACATGTCTGATAGTTGCTGAGACATTTAGTATTCAATTTTTTCTTCTATAAATGTATCCTACTTTTGCAACGGAACGGTCTCAAATTGTCTTAGAAGAACCCCATTCACACAGCGACTTTAGAATATTGCAAATATTATGCAATAAGCTGCCGTCTGTGTCTGACGGCTATGTTGATGCAACTGCAGAAGTCGACATCTACCTGAATTATCTGAAAACACCTCTCTGCAACTGTCTTCTTCTATATACACAGTGCGCTATATACAGAGTGCGCTATACAGAGTCATATATTGCTATATACAGAGTGCGCTATACACAGAGTGCTATGTACAGAGTGCTATATACACAGAGTAATGTATACAGAGTGCGCTATACAGAGTAATATATTGCTATATACGGAGTGCGCTATACACAGAGTGCTATGTACAGAGTGCACTATACAGAGTAATATATTGCTATATACACAGAGTAATGTATACAGAGTGCTATGTACAGAGTGCTATATACACAGAGTAATGTATACAGAGTGCGCTATACAGAGTAATATATTGCTATAT